ACTGTCAGGATCTGATGCAGGCTCTTCCTGCGGTTCATCTGGAGGAAAAACACGCCGACCGCGCGTGCCAGGAATGTGCAGAATCTGATGGGTCGGGCGGGTCAGGGAAAAGTGCTCGTTCCGATGGAAATAGCTGCGACGACTTGCGTGGATGATATATGAAGCAAACTCTACCCCGTACTCTTGTGCTTCGTCCCACATGTTGCTCTGGAGCACAACCCAGCTGTCGGCTCTTTCCAGCCTTCGAACATAATCGATATTCCTCTGAGAGTGAACGAGTGTCCTGAGGCAGTGCCGCATCCACCTCCTGACCAGCTCCGGTTCACTCATAACCCAGCATCTGCGAGCACGACGGCAAGTTGTCCGAAAATTGCAAAGGCAGTCCACAGTGAGCAACTCGTGAGTCACATGAAGCCAATAGTAACCATCTTGCAAATTCACTAGATGGTGTACCGACATTGCACCCTCTTGTTTGTTCATATCGTCATGGCGGTCAAGGCGGTTGATTCGCCATCGCACTGGTTGCCACGGATACTCGTGCCTCCAAAGAGGACGATTGACATCATAATGCAAAACATGATCGATCAATATGGGGCGTTCCTGTGGCAAAATTGGCGGATTGTTTGCCCTGAGTCGTCTCATGCGCTCCTCCTCCCAGCCGGACAAAACGTAACCATTGAGATTCGTCCTGTAAAAACGAAGCCTGTTTCTTCCGTTATACATGCGCAGTCTCTCCGGCGTGTCGGATCGGTTGGACTCGGACCACGGGGGGAGTGGGCTTCGAGGGCTGCTGGATCTGCTCCTGGAAAAGCGACGCCAATTGAAATTATCATAATTAAACGGCGGCGGCAACGGCGGCTGCAAGGGCGAATTGCTCCGGCTACGGCCCCTTTGCATGATTCTGCTGTTTCCTTGAAACTGTCCAGCCCATTGTCACTGGAGCTATCCGCTGACTCAATCAACGATTGAGTTGCTACTGTTCAAGATCCTTCCTTGCTCCAGATGTAGAACCGTCCAGTTCTCAGCGCTTCACAATTGATCTGAGACACGACAATTGTGACACAATTCATGGACATGCAATTCATTTCCACAAGCATCACTGGACAAAGGACAATTTCGGCAATAGCTCAGGTTTCCCACAGCTTTTTCCCCCAATCGAAACTTGCTGGAATCTTCTGGAACCTGCAATTGCAGCTAGTGATCTGCAAATGGCAGAATAATTACTAATTCAAATTTGTCCTGTGCGAATCACATCGGTGAAACATCAGTGCTTGACCGGCAACTGGCTTTTGCAGGTTGCAGATTCCTCTGACACACTGCCTTTGGACTCCGCCAAAACCACATCATCACATTTGCAGTCTTGCGAGATCATCTCCAAGCGCTTGTAGTCCCACAAACCAAATTGATCTTGGGGGACAATGGCTGCAGCTGAAGCAAGACAATTCTAACAGCAGGCAAACCATTCCAAGACTGGATGTAAGAGGCTTTCACTGAAGACTGAGGCGGCTGCATGGTGATGGTTCTCTTTGTCGCAAACAACCTGACAGAATTGAAGAATTGTTCATTTCTTGGCTTGGCTTTCAACCGCAACATGTGCCATGCCAGTTGCCCACTCATGCACTGACACAGATTTGTCAGGCAAAGTTTCACTGGATGACTTTGCTGTGCCCATGACACTGTTTCCTTTTGCACTCTGATGGTTCATAGAGTTGTACAGCACCATCAGGTTTTTATAAGGAATCTGCAAGTCAAGCAAACTCTCAATTAATTGTGTACAACACTGTCACTTCATTGTGCACGAAACTGTCATCACAATAAATCAATTGTGTGTTTTGAGTCACAGAGGCAGAGGTAGGCGCATTGTCAGTGTCACTGACCTAATTGGCAAAAGGACTCGACACCGATTCGAGGAGTCAGAGTTTCAGGCCGGATCGTGCTCGTCCTCGGATTCAGAGGACTGTTCCAACAGCATGTGTAAGTATTCGTTCTCTGAGTCTGATGTTTCGTCACACACTTCATGTCTGTACATTGGCTCATCATCACTCATTGCATGGGCTTCGTCTTCGTCCTCATCCTCTATATCCTCATTTTCGGGAACTTTGTCTTCCTCTGGGTCTTCATCCTCTAGATCCTCATCTGCTTTACAATGATAAGGGTCCAGTGACTCCTCAGACTCTGACGACTGCATCAGAACCTCGTCCAACTTCAGAGCCATTGCTTCCAATTCTGCCCGCATTTTTTTGTTTGGGCAAGAGTTCTCAGGGGTCCAATCCCGAAAAGTAAGGAGCTCCTCCACGTTTGAGAACGGTTGTGTGTAGCCAGTGGCTCTCGAAAGCATGAAAACAGATGAAAACCACCCATGCAAGAATCCGATCATCGTCAAATCTCGTGTAATTGCCGGCTCGGCACAATGTAGAAGCCACTTGATGTTCTTGTAATAATGCTTCCTGGTCTGATCCGCCTTGCGCTGCAACTCCTCCGAGGCAAAAAATTCCGGAGACCATACCCAAAGAAGCCCCTCAACCAGGTCTCCAAGTTTCTCTTCGCCCCAAGGATAGGCTCTGCGAAATCCAGGCAGAAGCAACTCCAACGCCATTGTGTATAACGCATTCCCAGGATCATGCGGTTGCCCATTGTAGTACAGGCAGCCTCCGTGAGATATGTGTTTTCGAAATTGTGATGGGTAGTCAGCCAAGCCCTGGAACACACTCCGAAACCTGCGCTGAAGTTGGCCTGAATCTGCTCTCAAAAGATCAATCATCTGGGCCACAAATATTGTTGCCGACCGCACTTCATGTGGATCCACATACAGGTTCTCCAGGACATTGCCACAGTCACGGCAACAATTGAAGTAGTGGCGAACTGGCGTTTCAGCTGTTTTCTGGTACCACTGGGATTTCCTCCAGTGTGAATGACCGAGGCAACACTTGCAACGAGGACACTCCATCGCCACCAGGAAAAGTCACATGCGAAAAAATGCTATTTGCGTTTGGCCTCAGCAGCCACCTCTCAATTCTAAAATGCTGCAATTGTGACAATTGAGACTCAATTGTGAAAGTGTTCATCCAGTAGCATGGGAATCCAAAGTGTAACTACTGTTCGGAGCAGTTCTGAACTTTGACACCAACAGCTGCAAAAACATGAATCTATGACCAGACGACTGACTAACACAACATTTTCATCGACAACTCACCAGTGAGATCGATGTCACTGCCTCCTGCAACTCGAGGAACTCCAGCACCTGAGCACATTGGAAGGTGTATGATATGATATTATATTATGTGTTTCTGTGTGTGTGTGCTTGGGTGATAGCATGAATTAACTTCAAACTGACTGACACGGAAGTGTCAGAGTCTGTGTGAGTCGAGGAGAATGAACCAATCAGAAGAGCTGGAATCAGCCGAGTAGATTCACTCAACCAAATCACCAGCTGAGTATGGTACTTAGTGTACGAGCACCAGAAAGTGCCATGGATGAAAGCTCAACATCTCATTGGAGCTTTCAGCTCAGTCAGCCGGGCAGTCAGCTCACTTCAAGTCGGGTCGAACAGTTCCAGTGGCGGCCGCTCTGTCGAAGCGGATGGCGGGTGTGGCTGGGACATTTCGTTTCCTGTAGCCAGCACAAGCTCACTACTTCACCACATTTGAGTTTAAGGACTTGCACTGTCCCCGAACAAGGACAAGTTGCCCACACATTGTCTCAGCCAGCTCGTACTCTGTTGTCTCTCACCATGGCGCATCAGCATGTTCATCCTTGGCACTACAGATATTGATTGATTCATGTGAGTCTGAGTCTTAAAGGGATGTAATGGTGCACAATGAATCAATGAACAGTTCAAGCGGCATGAGCTTGACCTGGCGCTGCAATGGGAAATCGTGATGGGTGGCCACGTGGAAGAACTGGTCCTTGACATCTTCAGGGATATAGTAGTCCTCCAAGATCTCCAGCCTCAACTGTTTCATATAAACAATACAACACTGTAAACTGCATGCAAATCCCTGCCAGGCTGCATCACAGGGTTTCTGTCGATGGTAGGGACTACTTCTTCATCGTGCTCCTCTGCTTCCTCCTCTTCCGCCTCCTGGTCGATTTGCTCCTGCTCAGCCTTGTAGGGCTCCGACTTCTCAGGAAGACTCGGATTCCACGCTGTGAGGTCCGCCAGCGCACCGGCAGGTGCCAGTGGAACACTGTGCTCAAGTGTTGACATGAATTGAAGTTCCACAAGTTTTGGCTGCAGCCTCTCCCACACAGCATTCGCCAAACTCGACACCATGTTCTCAATTGAAGATCGAGCTGAACTGTTGCTCGGCAGTGCAGCACCACCACCTAGGAATGTCTGAAAGCATTCCCCAACAGCCATCTCACATGCCGTCATCATCGGAAGTGTTGGGTTTGCTGGCGCCGTCGGAGGAAAGGCAGGTTGAACTGGATGTGTTGCTGCCAGACGTGCATCCCTTGGATGTAACGGACGAGACTTGGGCGGATCTTTCGGTTCCGGCACACCCTCTGGAGAATCAACCTCAACCACTGGCGGCTTTGGCGGCTTTGCAGCCGGCTTTTTCGGCTTTGCAGGCATGCTTTTCGTAAGAGGTGCTGGCTTTGTTTTTGCCGTTGCCCCTACTTCTGCTGATGCCACTTTTTTTGCTGGCGGTCTTGCTTTTGGTGGTGCTCCTGCTTTTGGTCCTGCCCCTGGCTCGTCTGTTGATGCTGTTGCCCTGGCTTTTGTTTTTTCTGCTGGTGATGCTTTTGGATCATTGGTCCAAACTGAAGGAAGCCACTCTGGAGCGGGCACTGGTGGCCTGGCAAAAGCCGGAGTAGCAGAACTGGAGGATGCAGGATCACCACCCCCTCTTGTGGCGTCATCGACATCTGTCTCCGGGATCTCACGCGGAGCAGTTCGTGCTCTTTTGGCATCTGGCAGCACCTCAAATGCTTTGCATTGAAGACGACACACACACACACTCAATTGAGGATGTCAATTGTGACTGAAATGTTATTATTTATTCTTGAAGCTGAAGCGAAAATGTAGTGTTGCTCCCAGCTGCTGCTGCTGCAGCAGTTCCTCTTGACTTCGTCTTCTGATTTCGCTTCTGAAGCTTCTGAAATGTCCTGGCAGGTAGGTCCACGGGATGTTCCTGCTTGTCCTTGACCATTCTTGTTTTCAAGTTCCTGAGTCAAAGTGGTACGTGTTGGCACTACAGGGCAGACTGCAAATCAAATCAATGCGGAATTCGAGTCCAGGCACATCTGAATGGAAGCCCAATCAGTCTGATTTGCAAATTGGTCGGTCCATGTGTTCCAAGCATTTTGCAATGCTGCCTTCCATTCATCCGACGACCAACCAATGGACGGCAGGAGATGCTTCTGCTTCCTGATGCACACTTTGGCAGAACCATGGATTGCATTTAAATATTTACATATTACAACCTCAAAACAACATTCGAAAATCTGAAGCTGCTCAGCGACACGTGATGGCCATTGGCGAAGTCGATAATGTGCTGTTGATCGGCAGCGATGGCACTGTGATCTTTGTTTCTGTGCTTCTGGACTAAAGTGTCGAACCATGCGACGCATTCGATGCCACAGACCTGCACTGACAGCTGATATACTTACAAAAACTAGACAATTGAGTGTCACCTGGACCAATGAGTCAATTCAGCACAGCGACTTGGAAGAGAGCCATGACCAACGCAATCATGGCACACGTCCTGTGCCATCCCGCCGAACAGCAGATCCTGACAATTGAAGGACCACATAGGAGGGTTATAATTATCCTAGTCCCTGAACCTAAAAAAAACCTCCAAGACCTTCAGCATTCAAAGACTCGAGAAGCCTGAGCAACTTGTCGGGAAAATTGAGGATGAAGTGGAGCGTCTTGAGCGCTGCGGGATGACTATACACCTCGGTCATTAGGGTGAATTCTTATTAAAATTAAAATTAATTATTATACAACTCGATTCATGAAGCAACACCTGTTCGACCAGGCACCTGTTCCATGATATGCTGGTATAGGCCACATTCTCTGCCAAACCTTCCTCCTTCGGCCTCCCTTGGCTTCCATCCATGACTGTCACTGTCACTGCCCTCAATTGTCAATTGAGTGAAACTGAAAGGAATGAAAAATGTACAAATGTCATGAAGCTTCTTCACGTGCATTGACTTCTGCAAGCGAACCTCCCATGTGTTAGAAAAGTGACATTCCTTGTCCAACCTCTCCAACAAGTCTGCCATCTGAGGTGATGGACGATTTCCATGGTGGGCAACCCCATAACCAACGATCACCACTCTCTTCGGCCAAACGTAGGTTTTGCCGCCCAGGAAAACTGACCTCGAAGTGTTGGAGCAGAAAGCAGCTGCCGAAGAGCTCGGGTTGTCAATAGAGCTCACATCATCAGTAGCATCAATAGCCGGTTCGTGGTCTCTTGTTTCTCTCGGGGTCCTTCCACTTGCGTCCCCAATCGTCCGAGTCGTCTTCTTCTTTGCCTCGCCCCAAGTCACCGGAACTTTTCGTTGAGGCGTCTGCTTTCTTGCTGCTGTAGTTCCCGACATCGAATTGGCTGTATACTATCCCCAAGCTTTGATTGTGCCTCGAATGAACACGGAATTGTAATGATGAAAGCTTAAGCGCCAAAAAAAAGGGCTGCATCAATCTTTGCCAAAGTGCTCTCTAACGTTCTTGTTACAGGCTGACAGAATCCAGGCTTCTGGTTTCTGGATGCCGTCTCTTGCCCGTTTGAAAGATCTCCTCAAATGTTGTTGCATTGAAACAATGACATGTCAGGTAGCAAATTATTCTCAATTGGAAATTGTCTGAAATGTACTGCAGGTGTCACAAGATCACCAGCCTTTCTCGGGCAGAGCAAATAGAGCAAGTAGATTGCTTGCTGTGCTTTCCGGAGATCCTGGCCCTGCTCCTCGAGACACAATTCCTCAGGGAGATGCTGGAGGGCCACACTCGACATAGCACAACTTGAGCCAGAACTGCAGCATTAGGTTACAAGGGGCTCACAATCAATCACCAAGCAAGCTGACACACACACACACACACACACACTCACTGAGCCTTCCGCGCAAATATCACTCACATGCCTTCTGAAACGACTTCACCTGGCAAAATGCAAATTTCATGCCAGCCCTGCCCCCCCCCCGGCTCTGTCAAAACATGCCAGGCAGACCTTGCCATTGATGCTACCACAATAGTTATACTACCGCAAATCATGCTACCACAATTAGCGCTACCACAATTGTTGCTACCACAATTGACAAATTGATGCTACCAGAACTGATGCTACCAGAATTGATGCCACTGCAAAATCGAATCAACCAAGCCAAGCAATGCCATGCTGACTACCACAGTTGCTGCTACCAGAACTGATGGTATCAGAATTGATGCCACCGCAAAATCGAATCAGATGCCACCGCAACAATCGAAGCAATCAAGCCATGCAATGCCATGCTGACTACCACCATTGACATTGATTGATGCTACCAGAATTGATGCCACTGCAGCATCGAATCAACCAAGCCAAGCAATGCCATGCTGACTACCACAATTGATTGATGCTACCAGAATTGATGCCACTGCAGAATCGAATCAACCAAGCCAAGCAATGCCATGCCGACACAGTAACGGCCTCCCCAGCGTCTTTGCAAACACGAGTGTGCTCTGACAGTCATGCGGACTGGAGACTTCTTTAAATGCCACCCCCATTCGGCCAAGATGGGGTCACCCTGCTGAGTATGCGCCGGCAAATCAGGGCCTTGGACGTCGTGCTTGCCTTCTTTGCCCTATGCGGAGCGCTGAAATCCAATTGCCTTGCATACCGGCCCGCAAGAGGACAGGTCATGCTCGTCATCGAGTGCACCGGAATCGCTGCGCGACGCGCCGGTTACTGAAGACCTGTCAATGAGGCACAGCATAAGATGCCATGCGGGGCCATGCCGGCAAGCAGCAGTGATCGAAGTTAATATTTCGACCGTGGTGTGGGTACGTGGCATAGTATTTATTAATAGTAGCGAGGCCTTCCCTGCAATCTGTGTGCATTTCACCCCGCGGCGGACACACCACCTGGCTGGACAGGCGAGCAGCACACAGAGTAAATCCCCAGCGCCCGGCCAGCGACGCTGTCCCGCACGGATCAAGGACCCATTGCTCACGTGGTCCGAGCCCGACTGGAGCGGTCTCTAAGACCACTCTGAGCTGGGGCGTGCAGGATGGGTAGGGCGAGTCGAACCAAGCCAAGCAAGCCAAGCAAGCCAAGCAAGCCAACCAAGCAACCAAGCAACAACCAAGCAGTGGCACGTGACAAAGGACCACGTTTCAGCTTCCAACACATCCGGCTTGGACAGAAGCGAACACCATCGCTCAATACATCCGGCTTGGACAAATGCAAAAATGTTTGGCAAAAAAGGGTTTCCTCACGCTGGCTTCCCAGTGTGCTTTAAAATGTTTTGGTCAACGGCCGTGCCCCCGGCACTGAAATTCCTAATAAAATACATAAATAAGCTAATACTACAACAGCTTGAAACCTTAAATCGGTATATTGAACTGCACTATTGAGGAAATTGGTTTTGGCCTTCAAACCCCCCTGATCCAGCCCCCAAGGATCCAACCCTCAAAACGAGTGTGTGGAGAAATACACCTTTTCCTTAGTCTTCCAGCTTGCTGAGAACCGGGCATCGTCCCAAAAGTTGCATTCTGGGCAGAAGTAAGCTGCAAAAAGGCAGCCTGCCACAACAACGCCACGACGTGGCGGAGATGCCGAGTATTCCTGCTGCGGCCCAGGCTGCAAACTTCGCAATTCCTCGGCTGCACGCAGTTGTCCACATCCCGCCAGCACGTGGCGCCCCGGCTGTGTCGGCGCTTGCCGGTGGCCACAAGCGTCGCAAATCACCTGCTGCCATTTCTTCATATAAGACTCGTCTGACGAGCGACGCAGCGGCCTCGGTGATCTTCGAGCGGTCGATCTCGTGGGGCCTCTCACTCCCACTGGCGGCCTCCCGTCGTCTTGTTTGGCCGCGAGGCTGCCGCCGGTGCGGGGCGGGGCGCCTGCCTCGTTGTGGCAGTGGCGACACCAGAACACCTCAGAGCCCCCGAGACGACAGAACTCGGACTCGCAGCCAGCCGAACTCCCAGCGCCTGGTCGCAGCACCTGACATTCGCTAGACACCGAGACGGAGAAAGAGAGGATGCAGACGCAGAACTGCGCATCCGAGGCAACTGCGGCGCTAGGATCCGGCAGCGCCGCCTCGCGACAACTCGCTGCGTCTCGTCAGTCGCTGCGTCGCGGCGCAGTCTCCGCCTGTAGTGCTTGCAGCCGCTGAGCGGTGTCCGGCTGCTGGGCTTCTCCATCGTCGCTCGGCGCCATCTCTTCGGTCGTCGATTCGAGGGCTCTGAGGCTGTCACTGTGGGCTATAAGTCTGTAGGCTAAGGCAAAGGGCGGCTCTCCATACAGGGCCTTCGCGCTTAAGCGGTCTGAGCACCTGGCCTGGAACGTGGGTCGCGGGGGGCGCGTCCGTAAGCTTCGCCGCTGAGCCCAAAAGGCCGGCAGTGGCCCAAGGGAGCTCGAGAGCTACTTCTGGAACCCGAAATTTGATTTGCGCTTGCAGTGCTTTGCAGTTGCAGCATGCACATCCCAGAAGCTCTTTAAACGACGGCCTCTCTCTCTGCATCTCTCGCCCCCCCCACCCCCCCCATTTTCTTTCAGATGTCTCCGTGTGGTCATTGCCAGCGGTCCTGTGTTGGGTGAGACGATGAGGCGGCTGCTGCCAGCAGCGAGGCTCCAGGCAGCTTAGGCGGCTGAAAGGCGGCTTAGGCAGGGTCGCTGAGTTGTCGGAAGCAGTTGCCGCCGAAGAGCATCCTCGTCTGCAGAGTCTGCCGAAGCGCCACAACAGGCACAGCGCAAGCGCAGCGAGCAGCTAGAGCAGCTGGAGCATCTAGAGGCTAGAGAAGGGGGGGGTGGGGGGGGTTTCTTGGAGGCCCCCGAGGTTGCAAATCGGTCCAGATGAAGAACACCGTCAGCCCGCCGCCTCGCACGGAAAGCGAAAGCGCGGCCGCTGGGCTCTGCGACGCATTCTCTGAGGCCCTCTGCTGATGAGCCAAAAGCTGACCACGTCCCGGACGAAGAGCCGATTGCTCAGGTTGCCGCTTCCTCTTTGTGGCCTCTCGAGCGAGCTTTGCGAGCGCGCCAAAGCTTAAAGCTTGCCAGGACCTCAAGGCTTGAGAAACTGCCGAGCCCCGCGCGCTGTGGCTTTACTCTGTGCCATCAAATCGCTGCCGGTGCGACTGTGCGACTCGGCGGCGACCCTCTGAGCAGCTGGGCTTGAGCCGGACTGCTGGACCGGCTTTGAGAATTCTCCGAACAACCAAACCGCAGCATGCAAACATCTGACATGTGCAGGCGGTACGCGGCGGCTACTCCCCTTCTGCTCTCACTGTGCCCTCTCCCGCTCCCGCCGCTGACTCGGCCGGCCGTTTTTTTTCCGCCCGGCTGCGCGCTGCGCGCTGCGCGCGATGGCGGCTGAGCTCTCAGTCGCGCTCGGAGCGCCTGAAGCACCCGGCGGGAGCGGGACACGGAGGGCGAGGACGGAAGTCCGTTCTTCGGCCTCCGGGAACGGGAGCGATGGGAGCGGCTCCTCCGCCGGCGACCGCCGCCGGTCGCCTCGAAACGCCTCAGAACAGCGAAGAAGCGAAGATAAGCGAAGAAGGGGAGACACGGGGAGACGGGGGGAGGCGTGAGAGAGAGAAGCGCTGCTGATGACATCAGAGAGAGAGAGAATACGCGTGTGTGTCTCGTCTTCTCCATCGAGTCGAGTGTTCGCTCCTCCTCTGGGCCCCGGCCGTTCCGTCGCCTCCTCTTTGCGCTCGCCCCCGAGGCCGCCCTCCTTCAGAGAACCGCTCCCGCTCTGCGCCCTCTCTGCCCTCTGCCGCTCTCTGCCCGTCTTTTTTTTTGGGGGGGGCCCTTCTTGGCTTTGCCTTCTCGGCCTTCTCTTTGGCAGCACGCTCCATGTCCTCCAAAACGAATCGGCAAAATGCCCCCAACGTAAAGCTCCGCCTCTCCCTTGTGCTATATAGACCTCAAGCTGGCGGAGCTGGTCCTGCTTCTCAGCAGGCGTCGGTCCAAGGGGCGAGTAGCTGCGCGCCTCTCTGGACACTGCTCGGGGAAGAGTAGAATTCTATGTAACAAAAACAAAACTTAAGACAACTTGTTGATGCTTCAGCTGCGGGCCGAGAAAGTCCCGCGCTCGATCTCGCGGAGTTTCAGCTGCACAGCACCTGCACAGCTGCACAGCTGCATTGCAGTGCAGCCCCGCTGTCAACGAGCAGCTTTTTGCATCGCAGTGCACGACTTTGGCCTTTTGGATGCTTGGCAGCTCGCATGACATCGTTCAAGGTCCGCATGTCCTCCTGGTCGTCAAACTCACTACAAGACAACCAAACAAACTTCACAGGCCCGCATGACCTTGAAGGTGACTGCGCGACCTCTCATGGCGTTTGTGAGACGGTTCCGCACTGTCTCGTCGAGCTTGAAGCGCATGCAGGTGGAATCGATCTGCGGCACAAGACAAGCATCTTGAAAAGTGGTGCTCCTGCCAACTGCCACCTCCAAAGAAGAAGACAAAATCGAGGGAGCCACTTATCCCCTCTTCTTAATTCTCCCCCGGCAGCCAAAGCTTTGGTGTGCTTTGCTTGTCAGTTACGTGACAGGAAGTCATGTGCAGTCCACTGCCGTGAGCCATGTAGCAGGTTTGGGGATCAGAGACACAGTCTGTAGCATTGGCATCAAGCAGAAACTCTGGGCAGCCCTACTGTTCGCCGCGGAGGTTCGTATCGCCCCAGTTGTGAGTATATCTCAACGTGGTCGTGGAACTCTTCGGTGACATCAGGAACGCTTCGCTGAACATGCTTCGTTTTCGCGAAAGCAGCCAGAAGGAACGATACAGAGGAGTATCCGATCGAAGGAAAAGCCATGGCAATTGATAACCACTAGTCCGGCTGTGATGTAAACTTTCCTGTGCATACATACACCAAATGCCGCTGGAAGAATCCTTCCAATGATGGGCGCAGCAGTTGGTTTGCTGTCGAAGATGCCATAGATGACTGGTTGGAAGTCACTGAATCAGAGCCCGAAAACAAAGTCCAGCCGTACCAAGAAGGTGAAACCATGTACAAGCAACTCAGCTCTTGGGCAACGAATCCGATGAACACCCATAAACAAAAAGCTAAATGCACTGGCGGCTTTGACCTTGCAAGTGCACGGTGTCTAGCTGTGCATTCAGTTCCCCTGCCGGTTCGTAAACAGGAGCCAGTTAGGGGGCAAGAATACCGGAGTGAAGTAGTTGAAGAACTTCCTGCTCGCGTTCTTGGCTGTAGGAGCGGCCAATGCGTTCCAGGGCTTTCCTTTACCGTTTCCAGCACCTCCATGAAAAGTTTGGTCCGAAACCACTCTCCTCCAGCTGGCCACTACCAGCGGCAGACCAAGCATCTGCCACGAGAGAGCGCAAGCGATGGAGAAGGTCAACGAAAGGCTATCAATGAATCCGAAGCCACCGACGACTTCTACCGGGTGACCGAGCTCATGCTCGTGTCGCTTGCGGATTTGACTGAGAATATCGTGCGCAGAACTGCGAGACGCTTAGTCTACTTGCAGATGTTCCGCAAAACGAAAGCAGCAGTTGACATCACGAAATTAAGCTTCCGGTTCAGTCCGTCAGGGAGTCGGGGCAGACGTGGCGGGCTGACATCGAACTGAAGCTTCTACATCAAAGAAAAACCAGAAGCAAGATGTACCAAAAAACGAAAAGCCAAGGGCATGCTTTCCGAACCGAAACGAATCCGAGATGTTCGATTTGACAAGGAATGGAGCAAATCGAGGCACGCAGAAAGAGAAGCAGAAGGAATAATCGAGTGAGTGAACTGATGAATCTGCAGCCGACTAGCTGGGGCTCTGGAAGATGACCCGGAACCTAGGCGGACTGTGCTTCCTCTTACTGGGTAGGAAATCTCGGGGCTTAAGCCTATGTTGGAAAAGCTCCGTAATACTGTTCAGCTTTGCAAGTTGCTCCCAGCTTCGCAAGAACGAACGCGCTGGGACTTGATCTTTGTGGAACATGCAGAGATTACTTTGGCATGAACACATATGTCATCCGGTTCACCCTTGATGGCGCGAGTAACCTGCTGGTGAGACTTGATCGGGAGCTTTGCACGATTGGTTCGATACGAGCAACTTGCGGAGCTGTTGGAGATCAAGCTTTCTTCCCCGACGAATTCTTGCAGAGTCATGCCGTATCCTTGCAAACGAGGAAGTCCTTGACCCATTCGGGCCGAGACGGCAGCGCGTCACTTAAAGAAGACGTGGGCAAGGATGCCCAAGGCTCTCGGATGAATGGTTGTGAGACAAGCCGCGACGACACATCAGGAAGCGAGGCAATCAACAGACCTTTTGGAGGGATCTTGACCGAAGAGTGATCAACTCGGACACAAGGTCATTGTCACGATGAAAGACGACTCTATGACCAAGGCAGAGGGAAGCAGCTGATGCTTGGACGCTGGTCGAGTTGCGTCACAAGGTACCATGTTCACAAGTCCGGGTTGAGCGTGAATCAATCGATGATGATTGATGGCATGATGTTCAAATCCCTTTTGAGACGGCAAGCTCTTCGTCAGGAGGGCCACCGAGCTCTCGCCACACAGGTTGCTCCATGCAACAGAAGCCTGACCGTCGCCCAAACGTCAGAGTGCCAAAATGGCTGGCCGACGACCCGTGCCACTGAAGGCTCCGCTGATGCAGGGTGTGTGTGCACCTTTTCAATGGGCCTTCACTGTTAACAGGTTTTTTTTGTCTTGTCTTTACATGTAAAGACAAGACGAATGCCCCGCCGTCCCTCGCTCTCTCCTCATCCCTCCAAAAACACTCCTCCCCCACCCCAAAAAAAAAGACTTCTGCAGTGCTGCACCCCCCCCCGTCCCGTCCCTCTCCCCCCTCTCTTCCGTCTGCTGGGCGCTGGGCTGGGGGAGATTTGTTGTGTCAGCTCCAGGTTTTTCACTTTTCTCACGCGGCGGGGGCGATTGCGCGCTTGGTTGGGGAGTGGTGTGTCTTTGGATCAGGGAAAGGGGCCTAAAGGGGGCTGGGCTTTTTGGGGTTCAGGCTCTGAGGGACGGCACGAGGGCTTGAGGGTTTGTTTGAAGCTTAAGGAGTGTTGGCTTGGGGTCTGCTGAGTTTTCGGTTCTCTTAGGGGTAGAGTCTGTAACTATACTAGGGTCCAAGAATCCAAAAAATGAGCTGCTTGTGAAACCATGTGGGGGCTGAGCTGCGGACTATGACTAAGACGCTTCATGGCATCATTTAGATTCTGCCGATGCACCTCTTGAACCGCATGAAGCGTTCCAACACAGCGTCCAGAAGCTGTGAGGTCAGTGACTCTGGCCTAGTACTGTCGCTGTCTGACTGTAACTTCACTTATCGTCGTCCTAATCGAACTCTACTAACAAACTCAAACCACAACTCTAATGATTGAGCTTAATGCATGGTTAATATAAGTACAAGTATATATATATATATATATATATATAACAAGGGGCCGTTTGACGAAGCTTCGGGATGCGGCTTTGTTCGGCGAAGCTGAAGGCATTTTTGATAAGGTTCGGTCACAGAATCTCGTGTAAAATGTTGCCCTCTTCTGGAGCGCATCCGAATTCTTGAATTTCACTCTGATTCTCACCGGTGATGCTTGCACCCTCGCCCATGCTACTTGTATGTTCCCGCATCCGGCAGCCCGCCCGTTCAATTACTCACTCAGACCGCTGACAGCGAACATGATCTTTTCGAAAGATCGGGACATCGTCTCGCAACCTTTTGCATGCTTCTAGACTCCGACAGTGTCATGAGTGATGAGGGCATGTTCAGTACACTGCCGTGAGCCATGTACCGTATTGGTTCTGGGATCAGATACACTGTGTCGCTCTGGCACCAGAAAGACACCCTGGGCAGCCCTGCAACCTGCACTGTTTACGGAAGGTCGTTGTGCCCCAGATTTCTCTCACCCCATGCCCCTCCCCCTGCCCTCCCCCTTGTTTGCCGTAATGCCCTCAGGCCCGACGGCTTGTAATGGTGTCATGATCGCTTGCGTAAGTCTCAAGAATGTGGGTCTTCGCTTGTGGCTTCCTTCCCACACATCTCTCGGTGTCGGAGGAAGGCAAAGTCGTCGTGCCTCCTCGTTCATCCAAGCCTCGGACAGAGGAGGAACACCTGCCACAAGCAGAAGTAGCGGAACACAGAAGATGCGGACTTTGGCACTGTGGCACTGCACTGCACTGCACCTGCGGAGTTCCCGTTCCCGCGCGACTCGCGCTCGGAGTTCCCACGCTCGGAGTTCGCACGTTCGGGGACGCCGATACGGTCGTTCGAGGGCTTGGCTCCTCAGCGCTGATTGGGCGGAAGTCTGCCACTGAAGACAGAGCGACACTCCTGTGCCCGTGCTCTTGTCCCGGTCTCCTGAAAAGCAAAGTCTGAAGCGTCTGCAGCGTCTCTGAGGGTTGGGGGAGTCGCAGTCGTTTCAGCCTGCGCTCCCCGGGTCCGGGCCCGGGCCCGGCGGGCCTGCGTCTTCCTTGCGCTTCTCCGGCGATGGGGAGCCGTCCCTGAGGAGATCAGAGAGAGAGGGGCGGAGAGAGGGGGGCGCGCTTCTATCCGCTTCTCTTCAGTTCAAGGCCCAAACCTCCCGCCCTCCTTTGGCCTGGGCGCGAGGGCAAAGGCCGCTCCCCGCTCCGCTGTCAATTTGGGCCCGGGCTTCCCCGTGAGAAGGTACCGGAAGTCTTCGTCGGTGCCTCCGAGAGAGCGGAGAGCGGCGGAGAGTCCTCTCCAGTCCTCTCCCTCTCCACTCCCCCTCCGCTGCACTGAGTGCAGAGCTCTTCTCGCTGACCTCCCCGAAGACCACCAGCAGGTATCCCGAGCGACAGACAGGGGGCACCTCTCTCTTCCAGCACGAGCGACCTGCGCCGACCGTTTCGACCAAGCTCCTGGCGCCAGCATGCCGAAGCTCCTGCTCCAGCCGCTGAAGCTCTTCCTCCAAGCTTCACTGGTTCCACTCCTCTCTCTGCCTCTCTCTCAATCTTCCTCCTCTTCCATTCTTTCCTTTCTCAACGCATGAGTCAATGAGTGTAGGGTACAAGTAAAGTGGACTCCTGGTGTGCGTCAAGGACCTTACAACCCGACCAAGCTCACTGGGCTGCCAGTCGACGTAAGCAAAAAACAAGGGTCCATCAACGCCTCAGCTTTCCTTTAAACGCTATGCTTGGCGACCTGGCCTGAAGAGGGGGCGCCCCCGTTCGCTTCAGGTAGGCCACCTCCAAGGCGAAAGCTGGCATGCAGAAGGCCCCGCGCCCCCCAACTTCCGGCCAGCTTCGGCTCGAAGCGCTTCTCCAGATCCCAGCCTATAGTCTATAGGCGAAGGCGATGCTGCGATGCTTGCGCGCTGCAGGCTTCTTGCACTCTGCTGGGCGTCCCAGCGCTCCATGAAGTCTTGCACCTCCCTCAGGAAGGGGTCCGCTGCAGACGGGGACCCCGCTGGCTGCGCTGGCGCCAGCGTGCTTGGCCTCGGAGAAACACCAAACACCGCCTCGTTCTCTCGCTGCAAGCCGCGCCTCTAGCCCAGGTCCCTGCTGGTCCGTGGGTGGTGGCTGGAGCACCACTGTGCTTTCTATATTTATGGTGCCAAGGCCAGGCGGCCGCAAACACAGCAAGTACAGAGAGGACTCATGGGCTCTCTCACTTCTCCGCGCAGAGCTGCCGCAGCTGGGATCCCGGCGGTGGCGGCGCAGAAGGGCCTTTGAAGCCTCGCGGCGCCGAAGCCGAGGCGTTTCCGCCTGGACAGAGAGGCGGCCGAGCTGGAGCGGGAGGTGCGGCGCGCGCGCGCCTTTGCCGAGAAGGCCCGGCAAGACCTTTAAGCCGCGAGTGCAGTGCAGCACTGGAGCTCTCTGTCGGTCGGTGGCTTTGTGAGCCTTTCCTCGGCCTCTCTCTCTGAGCGAGGGACGCCCTTGGCTGCCAGGACCTGCAAGCCTTTGCCGATCCTCGGTCATCGCATCGCAGCATCTGCGATAAGGCGAGGTTGACCGCTGAGGCTGAAGCAAGGCACCCTTGCTCCCGGACAGCAGACTCGCCTAAGGCGACCCCCCGCCCCGCTGCTCGGCCCTGGCTCCAAGGCCGGTTGAGGCTGCGGCCAGCTCTGGCCTGAGAGATATGCTCAGCACCGCACAGCACAGCACTATGTCCGTGGGCCTGCACTGCGGCCCGGGCGACCCCGGCGACCCGGGCGGCGCCGGTGCGGGACTTGGGCCTCAGAGTAGGCGTAGGCTCAGACTTTCTCCTGGATGCGGCTGCACCCGAGGCCGTCACGGAGAGCCGGTGGTCTCAGCCTCGAGGTCCCAGGTCGAGTCACCAGACGCGCGGGCGCCGCTCTGAAGAAACTGGGATCCGCTCTGTGGAAGGAGGGGAACCGGTAGAAGCATGGGCGCCTCACAGCGGACTGGACTGCGACTAGAAGTCTGGAAGCTGCTGACTTTACACCTGAGCCAGACCATGCAACGCTCCCGGGGCAGCGCCCTGCGGCTGAAAGGGCCTCAGGCGAACGCTGATGCCTCAGAAGCTGGGGGCGATCTCCCTTCGACTCGGCGCCCAGCGCCGTGCTCGCAGTGGCCTCGAGATGCCACCACATCACTCTGAGACTCTCCCTCTCCGTCTGTGTGGTTGGGGTCAGAGCGCGCTTCTGGCAAGCAGCCTGGAGCCAGGCATCGTTCAACTGCGCAAAGGCTCTGTGCTGGGCTGTTCCGGTCCTCGCAAGCTTCAGCTTCCCCATAGCTGCCGTATTTGGTCCGGCAATACTCGCAGGCGTAGGTCACCTCCTGACGAAGGCACACAGGGCAGGCAGATCTGGGCCCCGGAAACGGGCCCCGAATGGCTCAGCCTCCTCAGCGGCTGAAAGACCTCGCAACTACTTGCGCTGGCGACGCAGCTGCAGCTGGGGGCTGGGCTTAAAGGCATCCCGGCGGCGGGGCCCCGGCCCTCGACTCCCACCGACGCCTGCAGACCCCCATTCCATGCGGCGAACCTTCGCAGGAAAGCCGGGGGCCCCCCGGCACTTCGCCAGAAGTGAAGAAGAGAGCCGAGTGCTTTGCATGCCGAGATCTCGCCCCAAAGGCCCTAAAGGCGGCCAAAGGCCACAGAATGGCAAAGAGTTGAGTTCTTGCTGCAATGCTGTCTCACCTGCTCATGTCGGGACCCAGCTGAGCTCGTGAGACAACGCTCCTTTCTCTAAGCTGACGTGTGTGCTCTCGCCCGTGCGTGCATGCGTGCGTGCTTGTGTGTGTGTGTGTGTGCGGTGTGGACATGCCATGCGTTGCTGCGGAGCACTACATCCATTCTACTAAAGTTACTACTACGGCTACGATCCCTCCACTCTCCGCGGCTACGATCCCTCCACTCTCCGCTGGAGCCAAGTCTCGCCGGCCGGTGACCACTCCTACACAAAAGCCAGCAGCGCCCGACCGCCGTCTTACTTCGCAACGTGCTGCAAAGGAGAATGGATATGGATGTGGAGGCGTCAGAGTTCTTGCTGGGGCTGCTTTCGCGCCTTGCTGGCCTGCTGTGATGATGGAAAGTTGTCATTGCGCAAACATACGCAGCCGAAACAGACATAGTCTTCGGCTTCCAACGCAAGTTGCGGAGCAACGACACACCGGCCTGAGCAGAGGTGGCGTCGTTTTCGTCCTTCCAAATTTGGCAACGTTGCGTGCCCAAGAAGGTCCACGCAGCTTCTAAGGTCCATCGATGAATGGCTACAGCACAGACTCACGGAGTGCTGTCTAGTAGTACACTGCTAGTCCAAAGGGCCTGTACAGGCAGTGACGAATGCAGGGCTGGAGAATACCAGCCTGTAACGAAAAGCAGTGCCGTCTAGGCGGGCACCGCGGCCACGAGCGGCGGTGCATGCACGGTAGCCGAAGTTTAGCGTGCACACCAACCACTCAGGTGAGAAGGCGAACCTTCCACGTAAAACCCTATCGAGGGTAGGGCTGTGCAGCAGGTCAACCTGCACAAGAGACCAGAGATCAAGCTCAGCCTCAGTAGACCATGCCGTTCCAGCTCAAACCAAAAAGCAGCAAGCAGCGACGTCCTTCCATAGGGTGCGCTTCCCTGTAGCTTCGACGACGACTCTTCGGCTCCATGCGCCGGGCTTCGCTTTCAAGGGACGAGAGTCGAAAGAGAGAGAATGGAAGCCTGCTTCTGGCTCTCTGCATGTGCGGCTTCCCTTTATACCGTCGTAGCTGTCGTTTCTTCACGGCCGGTTTGCAGGCAGTGGGCGCTGGGACTGCTCAGGTTTCATCCCCGTGCCACATTCCTGCCGGTCGTGATCCTTTACGCATGCTTCGGGCCCTTGTGACCACGTCGGGCTCCCCCTGTTCCCAGGCCCTCTATGGCCCTGTGCTCGGACACAGACCTTTGTTACTTTGCATTGCTAAGACAGACCACGGCTTTGCCACGTTTGATTGCGGCCTTTCGATTTGGTCAGGTCCGACCAAACACCAGCTCTTCATCCAGCAGCCGAATCAGATCTATCGCAGGAACTCTTTGATCGTTTCCTTTAAACAACGTGCCGCGGAATCGCAGTGCTACCTGGGGTGACACTCGTTGGTTTTCGAAAAGCAAACCTGTCCAAGATGGAGTAACTTGCAAAACACTCGAGGAAGCAACGCTGCTCGGGCTGTGCCAACCGCTTCGGTGACCGTGCTTAGTCACTTCCTTCAAGACGACAACGACCATTTCGATACCACTGTCGTGTCGGGTTGCAAGTTTCATCTATTCAGAGCATGCCCTGAAATGTGAAAACAGGTTGCGCAAGTGCAAATGCCTGAGCTCAACGTCTCAGACCTCACAAAGGTTTGGACGCTTTTCTGCGGGAGACTTTCAGGCATTGTCTTCATTCGGAATGAGTCCGAAACTGTGTTCATTTGAGAAGTATTGAGAGCCTGCCAACAAGACAAAATCGACCAAAGCTCAGTGTGCAACTATCTGCATGGTTCCACTCCTGAAAAAATGGGACAGTCAGAAGCCTTCTTCCAGGCGGTCTGGGCACAGAGACTGGGCTTGAGGAGGTCAGTCATGAGAGCCATGTTCTTCGGTGAAGGTTGTTGCAACCCAACAGACACTGTGAAAAGATCTGTCTTGTGCCGCGTGGCCCGGCGTGGCACAAGTGGACAACAACGCTTTTTCGCAAAAGCGAAAAACGCACGGCACGATCCTCGACTTGGTGAAACCATGGCTGTCTTAAGTGCAGCCGGGGTAAGATTTATTAACAAGGCGGGCACATCACGCTACCCAAACTCTGCCACCACTGCCTGGGTTGTTCTTCAGGCAAAGCCAAGGCGTCGGCTGCTACTGCGGCCAGGCCACTCTCCATTCTGCCGTCCCTGGAGCCAGCAGTGCTGCTGGTCCCACATCTGCTGCGGGAGCAGCGCGGTCGGTGCCCCTGCGTCGGCGCTGCGATTGGTGCGAATTTCATAGGTATGTGCAGTGTCGGGGCAGTTCACGACACGCAACAAGACGCCAATGCGTTGAGCATCGCTTCGGCCGAAGGAGGTCTGCAAGCATCGCGATCATTGCAGTGGGCTGGAGGCGCAAATGTGTGTGTACGGTGTTCAAGCCGTGTCAATCTCCTGATGATGGTGATGGAGATTGACATGACGGTCAGTGAGTCCACGAGGGAAGTGACGATCGCACAGGAGTGACGGTGACGACGACTGACGATTGGACGACGAGGATGATGACGATGATGCCGAGGCTGTTGATGAGTGTACAGGGGATAGTGCTAGTGCCAATGACAATGCTTATGATAATCATAATGGGATTGATATTGACAATGTTAAGGATGATGATGATGATGATGATGGGCGGATGTGCAAGACCCTCGGGTCGGCATCCCGCGCTAAAGGCGCGAGTAGTGGCAAGAGACACGTGCGGACGTCACACGGCCCTTGGGCCGTGGCGTGCAGAGAGAGAGAGAGAGAGAGAGATGATGGTGACGGTGATGGGACGGTGATGGGTGATGACGATGACGATGACAATAATGATGGTGGTGCTGGACACTGAATGGGAATCAATCTACGGTAGCATTGCTTCTGCGTGCAGATGAAAATGACGACGGTGACGAAGAAAAGGTCAAACAGGGGCTTAACAACGCTTTCCCTGCCTCACCCTCCGCTTCCGCCTTTTCTTTGGCTCCTGCATAGGTGAAATGTGGGGGTGGCTGCCGCACGTTCTTTTGCCATGAATGCGTGAGGCTATGACACAGACAGCCACATGCTTCAAAACACAACGCATGATGAAAGCTTTTGAATGACTGCATGTTGAATGTTGCCAGTTTTGCTCCTGCCGGCAAAGAGAACAATGGGCTGCAGTCACATGAAGTTTTGCATTGGCATTCTTGTGCTCATGCACCGAGTGGCCGCAGGACTTCGCATGCACACGCCCCTTATTTAAACGGTTTGTACACGTGGATTGCAACAACTGCCACGACCTGAAACTCGCTGGTGCCTCTCAGCTAGCTCCCAGTGCTGATGATAGCACATGTCGACATGCGATCTTCCCCTGTGCAGCGCCCTTCGGTTTGTGGCTTTCAAGTCTGGAGAGTGCAGCGCCCCGGTGGCGTGTATTTCTCGGTAATTTAAAAGTTTTCACACGAATTTTAACACCTAGCATTTCAAGCATTGTGTTTCGTCATCCAGGCATTGCACCTTTGATTTTGAGTCTTGAGCATGTCAATAAGTTTGTGGGGGAGGAGGGAGGAGGTTTGCCATCCATCATCTCCATTGAAGTTGAGGTGCGTGATCTGGCATATCATTTCTAATTCATTAAGAATACATCACAACCCCGGGGTATATATCCATATATGCATCTGATTACCTCAATTTATCGAGTTTTATGGATGCGTGTTTATGGAAATGTGTTATTTATATGTGCATACTAATGTTGACCTGTAACTTATTGTATATATCATGTCTTTAACTAGGGAATGAAATTGTGGCATGGGCTGCAGCATAACTGCTAAAAGAATATATCAACAGGCAGACCGTCATGGATGTGTACAACAGCATCTGAAGCCCTGGCGAACGGAATGTCGACATTCCTACAATTATAAAGCTCTAAGGGGCTTGCCACCTTTGAAAAAGTTTTAGGGCTTGCTACCCATCATCTACTATTGAAGCCTTGGATTGAGAGTGCACATTTTGTAGTCGGCGTGTACTTGGGAAATCACCGATTTGAGGATCCCGTTGTGGTTCCGCCACTCATCTAACTTCTCCGAGGGTTTGGCTCATTGGATCCTTGTGCGGCATTGCGTTTCAGCCGCATATCTTCCAGTAGAGCTTGGATGCTCTGGACACACGTCATCCTTTTCGGTATTTAGGTTTGCTACACACTACATGTTTTTCGTGGATAAGTGTAGCCCGTGATATGTGCCAAAGTGTTCAAACTCTGGGTTTTATTCAGACGGTCTCCCTGCATCCCCTACTGTGATTTGCATCTCTGGCTGGGTGGGCCACACCTTTTAAGGATTAGCTTCCGGTGTAATTTGGCATGTTTGTCAGTCATTCCATTGAAAACCTGTTGTTCGCCACCACCCACCCACTTCCATCATGTAAATCTTAAAGACAATGTTATTACGTATATGTGTGCGTATGTATATATACATATATCATCCACCCATGATACGCTTGCAAGGTTTCAGTTTTTCATCGAGTGTGCAATTGCATAGTGGCCTTGCGGTTACATACACAGGTGGTTGCATGTATATCACAACAA